GCCCACCACGGGTATCGAAACCCGGTTTCTAGCGTTGTAAGTCCGCAGACATACCGCTGTGCCACTGAAGGGCACACAGATAATGTGACTCAGGTTATAGTATCTAAAATTCACTCATCTGAGCAAATTAAAATAAATTTAATTGTTTATTAAAAATTTAAAAGATATTTCTATACAACACAGTGACTAATAACAAACCACCTTACTGCTTATTGTGGTGTAGTAATAACACATAAAATTAAGATTCAGGACATCTTGGATGATTATCGTTTGGTATCTGTTCTGGTTGCTCTTAAAAAGGCCTTAAAATAATTATGTTTGCTGAACACCAGAGATTGTGATTTCTGTGTCGGGCATTTATACTCTTGAAACAAATGGTACAGTAAAGTCATATTGCATAATATAATTTCAGTATCTTATTGATAAACAATATATATTTATAAGTTTATCGTAAATTATAATATTAACTATTTTATGTTTTTTTTAAAACGATGTTTAAAAATTACAGCATGATGCTTTAGCGTTATATGCAAAACAGTTTAACAATGATGAATAAATGATTTAAAATTAAGATTTAATTCCTCCTAAAATGTTATTTGAAAAGCACCTCAAAGCGTATTTGTTTTGGTTTATAAAGATGCATATTTTAGTTGTAATGCGTGGATCGGGGTTGGATTAGTAGTCAACGTGTACAGTATTGTAAATATGGAGGTTCTTGGTTCCCATCCCAGTGTCACAAGAAAACGTGCTCCAAAAAAGAAATAACTCGGTGGCAAGTGATGACTCGAATAGTTTGTTTTGAATTTCGAGCAAAGCTACACGAGGGCTATCTGCGCTAGCCGTCCCTAATTTAGCAGTGTAAGACTAGAGGGAAGGCAGCTAGTCATCACCACCCACCGTAAACTCTTGGGCTACTCTTTTACCAACGAATAGTGGGATTGGCCGTCACTTATAACGCTCCAATGGCGGAAAGGGCGAGCATGTTTGGTGTGACGGGGATTCGAACCCGCGACCCTCAGATTGCGAGACGAGCGCCCTAACCACCTGGCCATAGTAGATTAGGCCTTATATTGATTTTTGGTATCTTAAACAGCTTGTCTGTTGCATAATTCAGAATAAATTAGTAGCGTCAATGGTACATATTCTTAAAATCTTATGTAAATATAAATTCGCTGTGGTAAGTGAAAGACAATTAAGTAAACACAAAATAAGTTTGAAAGAAAATTCTAAGCAGCATTAACCAGGTTAACGCAGAATAAACTTAACGAAAGTAAAGTATACTTTGTGCTTTCTTATCTTGTGGAATTTTTACGTCTATTTTTTGTTTCATCTTTCAAACTAAATAAAGCTATGGTTTATAAAATTAATTCAATATAGATGCATACAGATGGTAGAATACCTTGCTTTGACTAGTGCAATCAAAAAATGTCAATAAATTATATTGTAATTTTGGCAAAGGGAATATAGGGTGTGGTAACTGATATTCGAATTTCAATAAACTTGAAAATTATGCGAAAGGCAAACGATTGATTGTTGAACCAACTGTGTAGAAATGATGGGGCACTTACACTTGTATATTTAAACTTTATTCATATTTGCTCAACTAAATTGACAGGACTTGTATATGGAGTGTTTGTGTAAGACTGTCACACTTTGAAGCTGCATACGGAGTGTTTGTGTACGACTGTCACACTTTGAAGCTGTATACGGAGTGTTCGTGTACGATGTCACACTTTGAAGCTGCATACGGAGTGTTTGTGTACGACTGTCACATTTTGAAACTGTATACGGAGTGCTCGTGTACGACTGTCACACTTTGAAGCTGTATACGGAGTGTTTGTGTACGACTGTCACATTTTGAAACTGTATACGGAGTGCTCGTGTACGACTGTCACACTTTGAAGCTGTATACGTAGTGTTTGTGTACGACTGTCACACTTTGACTCTGTATACGGAGTGTTTGTGTACGACTGCTGAAGACAACATTTTTTTAAATTTTAGTCACAAATGTAGAACAAAGAAAAAATACAAGATCATTAGCTTTTTCCCCAAACAATGTATACATACAACGAATCATGGAAGAACTGTTTACAAATGTCTGATAAAATTTAAGCGTAACAGTTACATATATATGTTTGAAACTTTCAGTAATAGTACAATTAAAAGTTTCGTTCAATCATCACATCATCTTCTTTGGGATACAAGAAGAGTGAAACAAGTACCATCAATCATCCAAGCCAAGTAATGGGACATACACTATCCTACCAAACGTCATGGGACACGGGTAGTTATGAATAAAACATGTTATTATTCCAACAAATTAATAATGGGTTGGCACGCCTTTGACGATAATGACTGCTTCAATGCGTCGTGGAAGACTGTCTACTCATTTCTGGTAGAAAGCTGGTGGTATTGTTCTCCATTCCTCCTTCGAAGCATTAGAAAGATCCACTACTGAAGAGGGCCGTCTTGACCTGGCCCTAATTCTGGGTTCCAGTTCATCCCAAAGATGTTCTAGCGGATCTTAAATGTTTTGATGTTATTCTCTTCAAACCACGTGTTCACAATCCTTGCTTTATGACATGGAGCGTTATAATGTTGGAAGGTGTAAGGGCCGGTATCATAACATTTCCACAATGAAGGACACACAGAATAGTTCAGCACATCATTGTAGGACTCAGCATTCATGGATCCAAGTATTGCGACCAGTGGACCTAGTCCATACCACGAGAAGCACTCCAGACCATGATATCGGCACCTCCAAACTTCACTGTTGGGACAACACACTCAGGTAATAAGCGTTCTCCAGGCGTCCTCCAAACCCAAACACGTCCATCAGACTGGAAGAGCGTGTAACGTGACTCGTCGCTCGACAGGACCGATTTCCATTGATCCACGGGCCTGGTTTGGTGTGCCTTGCCCCATGTCAATCGACAGTGTGCATTTGTTTTTGTTGTCAACGGCTTGTGGGCTGCAGCTCTTCCGTGAAAATTCATGGCATGCAGCTCTCAAGGTGTCATGGAAACACTTATAGGACTACCTGTCCAAACCAGATTCTCTAGGGTCTGACGGCAAGATGAGGTAACCAGCCTTTTCAAGACACGTCGGCTTCTGTCAGTCAGTATTTTACACCTACCTAGTCGTGTCTTGGGCTCATTGTCACCTGTGGCATTACATGTTTTCAGCACATTGCCAAATGTTGACCCGGGAATGTTTAATTGTTGCGCAGTAGCACGTTCAGACATTTTCCCCAAATGACATCCAACTATCCTTCCCCTCGGAAACTCTGTTAACTCTTTCCTTGTACTCATCGTTCAGCGTACAAGTTCGAAATGACTTTTTATTGAACCGCTGATCACCTTTATAGGCCAAACTATTTGCATATTTCGTCGTGACACCCATTTTCTTGCAATCAGAGGTGTGTCCCATGACTTTTGGTAGGATAGTGTATACAGTACAGTGACATTACATTACATTACTGAGAATTAAACTTGAAATGATCTAAAGAGGCTTACACATCTACATTTTCTAAATCATTTTGTAACATGAACATTTTATAATAGCTTGCAAGGACTGACAAGATGTATATTTTGTTCCGATGTTAGTGCATCCGGCATGTAACATATACAAGATATACATTTATACCCGTATCGCTAATGTTAACAAGTGTGTGGGTTTTGTTAAAATTGAAGTTTTTTAGACAATGTTTCTTACAGGTACATGATGATGACAAAACCTTGTCGAAACGTTGTACATTTGCTGTTATGTTAAACTTATATTAAAGTTTTTCTTCATTACCCATTCAAGCCGTCTCCAGCCATTATTAGTCGCAAAGTGGGTTCCTCGTCATCGGGCATGTAAACCAATGTTTTAGTACCTTTACAGATGTATGAAATAAGATATGTTAATTATGTTTTGTCCATAACGCTTTTGAAATACTTTGTAGATATTTGTCTTAGCCTTAATTTAATACTTATTGTACTTAGTGCCCAGGTGGATATATATATCTTATTTATTCAGTTGCTAATCACCGATTTTTTTTTTATTATTTTTTTTTGGCTATTTCCTGTGTTGCCCCGGCATGGCCAGGTGGTTAGAGCGCTCGACTCGCAATCTTAGGGTCGCGGGTTCGAATTCCAGTCCCACCAAACATGCTCGCCCTTTCAGCCGTGGGGGCGTTATAATGTGACGGTCAATCCCACTATTCGTTGGTAAAAGAGTAGCCCAAGAGTTGGTGGTGATGACTAGCTGCCTTCCCTCTAGTCTTACAATGCTAAATTAGGGACGGCTAGCGCAGATAGCCCTCGTGTAGCTTTGCTCGAAATTCAAAAATAAACAAAGAAACAAACAAATTTCCTGTGTTTAGGTCGGCAGGACAGTCATATTCTATAAGCAGACTTCTATACAGCTCGTGTAATTTCATGATGTTCTTGGAGAGGCAAACTTTGTTGCGGTTCTCAAGAAGTGTAGATGTTGCTGTCAATTGTTTGTCAAAAAAAATAAAAAAAAACTGAATATTGTTTGTACAATTAAGTCGTAATTTACTCTTTATTTTTAGTTTACTTCAGACTGTTATGTTTTATCTTGGTAAATAAACGCCTGTGTTTCTAAAGTACTAACTCTAAGACCATACCAGTTGTCACACCAAAACACTCCCTATAATTATTAAACCATTGTTGTTTGTAAACGGGTTCGACCAAATAAGTTTATACTCCACTGCCTTATTATGGGTTTTGTAAGTGATATCTTACAGTTTTAAGTCTTTATAGAAACAGATAACCCAATTGCAACAATGTATAAAGTAATAGTAGTTGAATAAATGAGTGAAACACTTCATTGAGATATTTATGTGACAATGGTTTGTGAGAAACTGAATAAACCAGTGTATTGATACTATGTAACTGTGCCATTAAAAATACGGTGAGTGTGAAACGTACGCTATAAATAGTGTCACTGGCTCAATATTCAACTATGAGAATAATAAATACTTACCTAATATTTTTGAAATATTGGAGTTGTGCATGTCAGGACAAGCTTTCAGAATTTTACGTCTTTCGTCTTTAGCCCATACCATGAAGGCGTTCATTGGTCTTTTGACGTGAGGTTTTCCATCAGTGTCCTTCTTTGACTGCCGAATAATCTTGGCACTTAATAGTTTAGCTGTTGATTGAATTGAATTAACTTTTCATGAAAACAACAAAAACAACAACATCTAAATGTTGCGATACTAGTTTTACTGATTAATTTTTCCGATACAGTAATTGTAGTTCATATTATGAACAATTATTAAATCCTAAATGAAAAACAAAGAAAAAACGGAGAGAATAAATATAGAAACCAGAGCTGGAAGTAATGCCAAGGGAAATTAAAGCTAGTATTTAAAAAGCTGAAATATCACCTGGTTTGAATAGTTCTGACTCAATTGCATAATTAATAGTATTAGGGGTGTATGTATTTTGCATGTTAACTGCTTCTAAAAACAAAAATAAAATCCACTTTCATTTGCACGCTATAGTTTTGTTCAAAGACTCAAAATACAAAATATAAAAGACTTTAGCCACTGTAAATAAATATGTTAACTAAAATGCAAGAAACGTATAAGTTGGTATGCTAATTGTAGAAAATTCTCGAATGTAAGAGTAAACAATATATGTGTGTATCGTCTATATTGTTGCATCAGCTGAAATTTCGAGAAACTCTCCTCACACCTATAAATATAACGAACGCGATGCACCAAATGACAGTATATATTATTCATTTGCTATAGTTGATATGATAATTGTAGAAAATTCTCGAATGTAAGAGTAAGCAATATATGTGTGTATCGTCTATATTGTTGCATCAGCTGAAATTTCG